CCGAATCCCCTCTTCAAATGGTGAAACTCTGGGGTGTTGCTTGCGTGTTTCTCTTGAACTTGGAACAAACGGGGGTACTGACCGTAAGTTTCTTCCCTGGACTTTTCCCCAAGAGAATATTTACATTGCAACAGGCTTTCTAATGTACACAACGTGTTAGGTAACTACTGCATGTGTAGAAATATATTTAGGGGCTCAAATTTTATTTTTATTTTTTTTTAACTAGATGTACAATCAAAAGAGTTTGGAGGGCCCTTCCGTTCAGTTTTGCTTCACGCTCAGACATGTCTCAGTTGCCATTTTTGGGGTGTCCTGGGTGGGATGTTCCTTTGAAGGTCAGAAAAAAGACTGGATAAGGGGGTCCAGCCGCCTGGCTGGGGAATTCTGGGAGCTGAGGTTCCCAGGCCTTGCCAAGGATGGACACTCCTGGTCTAGAAGACGATGGGTGGAGAAAGAAGGGGTGGATTCTTTTTAAGGCAATGGATCTTGGGTTTTGGCTCGCTCAGGTGTTCAAGCATAAACCGAGATCATGTTGCCATTTCTTAGCTGGCTGTTTTGTCCCCAAATCCTTTCATAAAGAGGGGCAGAGGAGTTTTTAGGTGGTCCTGAAGAAACTGTTCCCCTCAGCCCATGTTCAGGGAAAGGGGAGAAGCTTGAATCACACACTGGACAGTTCAAGAGATTTTTGGGGCCAAGCATGAGAACAGGTCCCAAGCGCTCATTTTTCTGTGTCCTAGTTAAGGAAGAAAGGATGGGTGGAAGGAAGGGAGGGAGGGAGGGAGGGAGGGAGGAGAAGGAGGGAGGAAGAAGAAGGGGAGGGAAGGAGGGAGGGAGGGAGGAAGGGAGGAAGGAAGGAAGGAAGGAAGGAAGGAAGGAAGGAAGGAAGGAAGGAAGGAGGGTGAAAAGGAAGGAAGGAAGATTGGAGGGGTGAAGGAAAGATGGAGGGAGGGACGAAGGAAGCAAGGAAGCTTCCAAAATGTGGTTCTGTGCATCCGTGTGTGCGCGCGTGTGTGTGTGTGTGTGTGTGTGCATGCAGCTGTGGAAACTCTGGCTCAGGGTCCTATGTAGCTTTTGGGTGGTCTGTTATAACGTCAAACAACTGACAAATGACCAGTTGTTCAATGAGGACAACCTGTATGTTTCAGAAGACTTTTTTTTAAAAAAAATAAAAAATTGTGATCTTCCGACACAAAGTTCAGGTAGATATACACTTTTCATTTTAAAAGAAGACTTACAAAAGAGGGATGGCTGCTGAAAAGGGAACCACAATCCTCTAGCATCGGTATTATTTTCACAAACAGTTGTGGGTGCCAGCTACACGGAGATTTGGCTATGAGAAAAACTGCCTTTCTTTCTTTCTCTCTCTCTCTCTCTCTCTCTCTCTCTCTCTCTCTCTCTCTTTCTTTCTTTCTTTCTTTCTTTCTTTCTTTCTTTCTTTCTTTCTGCAATGGCCAAGCAGAACCACCAGAGGGCAGAATTGTTGCTGCTCTGTTTAAAGGTGCAGCTGCCCCATTGAGCCACCAGAGGGCCACCATCTACCTCTTTGCACCTACAATCCAGTGCGAGAGAAGTTCCCTGAGGATGTTTCCAGCACGTGATGGACTTCAGTTCTCCATCGGATACTTCTAAGTTTCTCCTAAGAGCTTGGAAGACAAAACCTCTGGTCCCAGTGACTGACCCACATTGGATCCTGCCCTTTTTTTACTTCCCACCAGAGGGCGCCCCTACGTCAGACCTTTGGTATAGCCAGCCTTTTTCTTTTAAGGTGCAGATGCCAAAGTAGGACACCAGAGGGCAGACCTTTCCCACTCTTTGGAAAAGCTGGGAATGGGAGAGAAGGAAGGAAGGAAGGAAGGAAGGAAGGAAGGAAGGAAGGAAGGAAGGAAGGAAGGAAGGAAGGAAGGAAGGAGAAGGAGAGAGGAAGGAGAAGGAGAGGGAGGGAGGGAGGGAGGGAGGGAGGAAGGAAGGAAGGAAGGAAGGAAGGAAGGAAGGAAGGAAGGAAGGAAGGAAGGAAGGAAGGAAGGAGAGTGAAAGGGAAGAAGGAAGAAAAACACAGAGAGACTCATGCCAAGGCTTACAAGATTCTATCTGTAGTTGCTTTATGGTAGTACTGTGGGCCCTGCACCTGCATTTAGGATTTTTTTCCCAATAAGAAGAATCCACAAGGAACATGCAGCAGAACATGACAAAAGAAGTTGATTTTATTGATAAAGAAACCAGCATGCTCACACGTGCTTTTTCAAGCAGGGATCATCAACGGCTACTTGAGCAATTTGCATCCCATTGCAGAAATATAGATCCCCCCCAAAGAGAATTTCCTTTCCTTTTCTTTTCTTTTCTCTTTTCTTTTATTCTTTTATTATTCTTTTATTTTATTTTCTTCTTTTTTCTTTCTTTCTTCTTTCTTCCAACTCAGGTGGATACCCCTTGGGGACTCAGGAAATCCTCCAAAAATACTTCGTTCTTGAGGGTGTAGCTCACGGATCTCCAAAATATCAGCGGGCCATGAAGCTCAAGGTTGTTCCGGACCATTCTAATCTCAACAAGGCTTAGCACCCGAGGCCACATTTTGACCTCTGTCATCTCCCCCACAAAGGATTGGGCGCTCTCAAACCCCCCTCCGAAGGAGTCCTGGTCCTGCCCCAGCACGATGGAGGCCTCCGGGCTGATGCTGTAGCCCTTTTTCACACTCTGTCGAGGAAACGGTTCTCCATTGAGCCAGAACTGGACCAGCCCATTGCTGGAGTCCCAGGACACACAGATGTGATCCCAGCTCGGTTTCTCCTTCAGAGGAACCTTGAAATTTACTGCTAAACCCCCAACGTAAATGGAATATTCGTTGGCTTGGCTCTTGTAGATCAGGAAATCGTTGTCACTGGACTGGGTGGCGTAAGAGAAGAGGCCGTACGCCCGGGACAGGAGGGTGTAGTGTTTCAAACAGACGGTCAGCTTGGTCAAGGGTTGCTTGTTGGAGACTTGGATATGCACAGCGGCTGTGTCAGATAGTGCTGGGAAAACAAAGACCTTGTTCTGGAGATCTAAAAGGAGACAAAAGAGATCCTGGTCAGCTGGAAGCCCAGTCTGGGGAGTAGGCTAATTTCACATGGCCCATTTCACATGGCCCGGCACAAAGTAAAGTGGAGAGGCCATCCAGTTAAGTCACCTACCTAGGGGGTCTTGAAGAAACTGTTCTGCTCAGTTCAAGTACAGGGAAGGGGGGCAAGTTTGAATCACTCATCAGAGACTCCAAGAGGTCTGGGGACCAAGAAGGAAGGAAGGAAGGAAGGAAGGAAGGAAGGAGGGAAGGAAGGAAGGAAGGAAGGAAGGAAGGAAGGAAGGAAGGAAGGAAGGAAGGAAGGAGGAGAGAATGGGAGGGAGGGACGGAGGGAAGGAAGGAAGGAAGGAAGGAAGGAAGGAGATGGGGGACAGGAGTTCAGATCCCCCCTTACTCATGGAAACTCTTGGGCTGAACCCACCTCAGAAGGATCTTGTGTGGAAATCAACTCACAGACTTACGATTTGACATTCTCCATGACCAACTAGCTCTACCATGAACAGAAGATCCAACAGCCCCATTGAGAACAATGCCAATGAAAGGTTCAGAGAAGTCCACCCAGCTTCTGGAGACCACAGGACCCTCAATGGCCAGATGGAGCTGCTCCTACGTGGGTTTGAGCCTCACCTTTTTGGCCAAAGGATCCCGACAGGCAGGCGAGGATAAGAAGGAGGGAAGGAAGGAGGACCATCTTGGCG